GAAAGGTATATGAGTACAGACAGCGAATCAGGTTACCCACTCAGAGGTAAGACGGACGGATAAGAGCACCTAAAAACATGACGCACTTTGAAATGTGAGCCAATTTGCAGATAACAGTACAGCAAGGTGTAGCAGAGCACTTAACACACACAACCCTTCAGATTTTATTGTTATAACATACTAAAATACACAGGAATGTATCAAATAGATAGATAGATAGATAGATTAGATTAAGATAGATAGATAGATAGATGATAGATGATAGATAGATAGATAGATAGATTTTATTTGATAACACTAACCTGAACACCAGTGTTAGGGAATATTATTTTTTTCCTTCAACATAAACTGTAATTTGCATATTCTTTTAATCAATCCACTTGTCTCTTTTCAATAATTGTACAATCCTTGAGCTTGTGTGCTGTAGTTTTTGTTTGTTTGTTTTACACCAAACTCGGGCCAATTCCCAGGGGCATCAAGTCACTAAATGCAAAGCAAAAAATAAAAAATAAAAAAATAAAAAAATAAAATAATTAAAAAAATAATAAAAAAATCAATAATAAAATAAACCCCCCAAACAAATAACCCGCTTAGGCTGAATATCTGGGGATAAACTGCAACGTTGACTTCTGAATAACAAGATATTATTATCATTATTCTTTGGCCGGGGTGCTTAATTGAATTCCAAACTCCCGTTAAGGTCCTGAGTGCTCCAACATAATGTGTTTGTAAGGAAACGGCTTCCTAATAATTTCTGTTTGATCCTGGCTTTCCGTTAACAGAACATTTCTGCTCACTTTGGATGGGATATGACAAGTGCCAATTGACGCCCTAATACAGTATTTCAGGCAGAGAGGCCCATTACATTGCAGCATTGTAAGCGCACAATTCAGACCTTACGAGTAGCCTTCATTATTGGCAGGCCTATTTTAAATGACAGGTCCAAAACGGCCTTCAACCAGATGCTTTAATGCGGGATTTAATTCCATCCTGGAAATTTATGATTCGAATAATTCACATTTCTTGAGGGAAAAAAAAGAAATCTTGGAGGGAGAGTTGGTGTCTTTTTCCCCCGTCACATTAGCGAGGTTATGGAGTGTGTTGGCCGCGAAAGCAGCACAGGATGCAGGTTGGAGTTTGTTTAAAATGTGCGCTAATGACGCGCATTAATCTTACCTTGTAGGTTGGGTGCCATGGATCCCTCGGGGAAAATACCGTCCTTCATATACACTAAAAGCTCCTCCCCTGCTTCAATGTCCCGGACAGCTTTATAATAAATCTGAGGAGAGAGGGAAAGAGAGAGGGAGACTTTAACTTAAGGTCAACATGGAATTAATAAGTCTGAACCCCCACATATTTATTATCGCACTTAAAGGAAGGGCCTAATGTTAAAATGTATGAAATTAGCATATTAATAGGGTTATTATTAAAAAAATAAAAACATCATCTATGCCTAAAATAAGCGTAATTATTCAGGCTGCAGCAGAGATATGGAAACATATTCTGTTCTGAAATGTTAACGATATTTTACCATTTATTTGTACAATTAAAAGATGGGCCGTCAGGTGTTATTTTAATATGACAACAATGATTTAATTCATTCCACGTGTACTTCATACAATTAAAAACAAAATGACCCCCTACAAGTAATTTATAAAACAATTCAAACAGATCTGCGGGCTTTTACAGTAAAACAAATAATCACTCAAACGTAAAAAAAAACAAAAAAAAAAAGAGGAAAAAGAAAAGAGAAAGCAGAAGAAATCCAGACGATACAAATACTCCTCTAATGCTAAACAGTCTGAAAGAAAAGTGGCGAGTGAAACGAAAATAAACATCAAACCGCTCAGCTGCTCTCCTGCGTTTTTTTAATTTAATTTTATTATTTACAGCTGCAGAAAACCGGGAAATGTCGGCTCTTTATCTGCACACAACTATTCATTTGATCAAGGCAATTTAACTTGTGTGATCGGACAAAAAATACTGCTGGACTAAGAGGTTTTCCTTCTACAAGTAAAGACAAGGAATACTGAGAAAGCAGGACTAATGGCAATATCCGAGGCCATTCAGAGCCGAGGCCTCTATCCAACATCAAGAAAATCTGCCAACCAAACTAATCTTATACATAGCCTCCATATAGTCTAAAAAACACTCTGTCACAATTAACATGTATAATATTCCAGTAAATAATATCACAGCTTCGTGCAACCCAATAAACCACAGCGCAAACTACCACTCCACAGCTGCACACAGAAGCTGGGATCTCTGAACACATGGGGGCGCTCTGCACCAATTCAACGATGTCACCACAACAAGGAAGGCTGAGCGCACACACACACACACA